AGACCGCTCATGACAGAGGCAGATGGCGAGGTCTCGCTGACCAATGTTCCCAACAGAACGGGAGGAACTGAGACTAAGAGACTAGTGAAGAGCAATTTGAAGTAATAAATGATAATAATAGGAAACATATTCTAAGGAAAAAATGCAAAATAGTGTGAAGTACTAGTCAAGAGCAATTTGTAGTAATAACAATGATAATTACAATGTTTTAGGACAACATGAGACTTATTGATCCATCTCAGCTATTCTATCCTCTAAACACATCAAAGTAATTAAATGTACTAAGGTAGAATAGTGTGAAGTACTAGTGAAGAATAATCTCAATTTTACATAGGGGTCAGATTCTTTACAGTAGGTGTCTGTGACTTGTTGGCAATAAATATCAACAATAAACAGACAGCAAACAATCCACTTATCCTAAAATGATATGTTGAAAACAAGTCAAACACAAGTACAAAAATTCATTACACCATTGGTTATCACAGTTGTATCCAGAGCTTTAAATAATTGTCTCCTTTTTTGTCAAAGTCCACACAAGCAGGTTCAATTACTTTAGAACACCCTTTAACAAGACAAATTCTTCTTCATTATCTCTGTTGTTACAATAACACTGTGAAACTCACTTCAGATATTGCCCATTATGGATGAAGTAACAATTATGCAATCTAACTTCACTTTCACTAACTTACTTTAACTTCTTCTTGCATTCTGTATCTGCACGTATTTATAACACGCAACAGAAATATCTAGCCCTCTAATGACAACGATATTCACATAAGGAAAAAAACTTAGAAGCTTTGAGTAAAATGACATCAACAGTATTACAAAAGCCTAGTAGAACAATTAAACTGCATACACAATGTACCACTCATACAGAATTATGTGACAAAATAACTAAATTCTAACACTCTTGTTGTGGAAACAAAAGAATAATTAAATATTACATCACTAAATAATAACTTTTAAACTAAATAGTCTTCTACATCCAACACTGAAATAATAATAATATTGTAAGGTTCATATTTTTAATGTTGTGATTTGTTTGTTAGCTAGAGAGAGCTGCGTGTCATAATGATTACATTATGATGAAATAGGCCAGAAAATTCTAGGGTATTTGATGTACAAGTTTTCTAGTAGATTTAAGGGTAGCTTATAAATATGAGGTAGTTTTGAAGACTGTAGATGTGTTGCAAGATAGTACAGTCAATGCTAGCTGGTAGAATGAATTAGTCCATGTGTTGTTTCAGGCATAAAATGGTATAAGTATAATGGAATAATGTAATCAATTTCATTGGTAAATATGGCCTACAACGTTATCATAGTTTAAACCTGTAATAATGTTAAGAAAGAAATAAACTAATTTTTTTATTGTTTTACATGTACTGAACTTTGAATTATTTTTACCAGATAATTTAAATGAACAAACCAACAAAAGAACAATGTTAAAAGACATGTCAGAAGTGGGATTATTTTGATGAAAATAAAATAGTACTTTGACTAAACCTTAACTTTAGTTCAAGATGACCACAGAGGCACAGAGTAAGACAGGAAACCTGCTACACAAGATAAAACAATGGAATAAAGAACACAACAAGAGACTGAGCATTTAAAGAAGAACAAAGAAAAGAGGATAAAAAATTGAAAGAAGACTAGGAAGCATATGAGAGAAAATTAAAAGTAAATGAAAAAGTTATTAACAGAAAAATAAATAAAATCAAGAGAGAGGAGTTAACGGAAAGAGACATACTATATATGGATGAATGAAAATCAAGAATAAATATTATTGGAAAGAAGACTGATGAAAATATTGGGGATGTACAGAAAGACTAAAAACAAAACTGAAAAAGTACAGAGAACCTGTAATGACAAAAGTGAAGTTCAAAAAGAGATGAATGAAGTAGAAAAAGACATCAATGAGGTAGAAAAGAACACCAGTGAAAGAACAAATCGTGTTTAAAACAAATTATTAAATGCAAAGATTAAACCAGCCACTCTTTCTATACTGTTGCAAGAGTTACAACCTAAAACACCATCTACTACAAAACATAGAATAGAGCATATTTGGTTTACAGCTATTACCACTACTCTCTGCCATTTGTTACTGGTTGGTTGGTTGGCATGTATTGGCTATCTGTGCCATCTGTCACTGAACGATTACTCAAGCCATAGCATTACCAAATCCAGTTCCATAATTTTGGTGGCCAGTTCAACATCATTCAATAAAGTAGCCAATGGACTGATAGGAAGATACCATGGGAGTCACACCAGACCCATTTCGAAATCATTTCCAGAGTGAATGGGTGGAATGATGAACAATAAGATATCCATCTATTGCTCATTGAAAAGACCAGCTTTAAAAACAGTAAACAACATTTTAGCTGAAAGCCATAACAACTACCAAACATTGTAGGTTGCCTTTTCCAACAGATTCAGAGCGTCACATCAGAAAGAAGTATCCAAAGCAAAATTCTGGAACAAGGTTATGGAGGAAAGGAGAGATCTTAGCTGAATATTTAGACTACCTTAATAAAAACTCCTTGTGAAATGTTGTATTTGTTAGCAAGTGACCAATTTCTAGATGCAATAACAGATGAGTAATGAGAATCAGGGTGATGCAAGGTAGGTTTGCAACCTTAAAGGAAGCTCTTTAGTTGGTATTGGAACTAGAATTCATTAAAGTTGCAGATAAACTACTAAATGAACCATTTAGAAGCTACAGAAATGTCAAATACTGTAATATCAACAGCCCTTAAGAACAGTCTAGAAGAACTTAAATAATTAATCAGACAAAAAGTTTCAAAGAATGGATGAAACAAACCACAAGAAAAATTAAATTACTAATGTTGAGTAATAAAATATAACATGCTAACAAATAACAATCTGAAATATCAAAGAAGAGTAATCTGTATATTAATTGTTATCATAAGTGTTGTTTTAGCAGCATATTCATAATAAAATAATGCAACTTTTATAATTAAAGTTAACTATCTCTACAGTTGAAAGTGACTGACTGTATATGTAGAGCATATCACACAATATAGATTTCTATAGCTGTTTCTTTTAGACTAAAGTTTCAATAGACGTTAAGTTGGAAGTGAATCTGAATTGGTGTATTATCTATTATAGAAACAGTTTGTTTTAGAATAAAATTTCTTACATATTTAGTTAGAAATGAAATTGAATAAGTGAATGGATATAGTATTTATTATAGAAGTATGTCACTCCTTATTTTATGCTAAAGTTTCACATAAATTTAGTTGGAAGTGCCTGACTAAATGTAATCGTTATTACCTATTAGAGTTCAGTAGTTTTTGCTCTAGTAAAAGTAGGCAATTAACTCAATAATTTAATTACCTGTGAGCATCAATTACATCTACTAGTGTCAAATAAAATAATTAATCAAAATTATGATTAAATCCATTAATGACATGAAAATCACCAACTATTTCTGACTCTTACCATTTTCAATTATTCAGTCTATTCAGGTAATCGAAATGTTGCCTTTATGATTTCTCATTACCTTTTTCAATAAATTCAAGTTTGTTCAGCTTAATCGATTAGTCTTACAACTCGAAAAATATTCAACTAATCAAAATTATTGTTTCTGATTATTACTATTTTTGATTATTTAAATCATCCAAGTTTTATGTGAGAATACTCTAATAGTCATATGTAATTGATTAATGAGCCCAATGATTAATCAATCAGCAAATTCCACTAATAACCTAGCTCTACTATTTAGGTTCAAGTTTTGCTGTCTAAAGTACTTCCAACTAAATGTACATTTAGAAGTAACTATATGCTGTTGAGGTTTGATTTATTTTGATAACTTATAGTTAAATTTGCTGCAGATGTTGTACTCTAATCTTGTGACACAATTATTCAAATGAAGATCTCACAAGCAATTAAAATAATGTATCTAAATTTCAATTAATGTAACAAAAAATATTTATTTGCCACTATCCACTGCAAGCTATCATGCAAAGTTAATACAATATGTTTTTCAAACAGGAATTTGAGGAGTTTCATTAAAACTTACCTTTTAAAACGAAAATTTTTAGCAAATGGATTATTGTCAACTTTCAGTTTCACCACCTGTTAAAAGAAGAAAAAAGCGACTATTTCAATTACTTGCAAAACCCAATCAATCAATCACTTTTCTTCAATTGTTTTTCTGTAACTTTGTTCAGAGTCAAGGGGTTTCAGAACTAATATGCACTACTCCTTATATTTAACTCTGGAAGTGAAACAAACTTTTTAGAGATCACTTATACAAATTCAAACAGTTGTGAAAAGCTTAATTGTGTCACATCTAGTTCATATACAATTTCTTGAAAACAGTTACAACAGAATTAATTAAATATTTAAATCTCTATTTATTAATGAAACCTCAAAGCAAAAAACTACAATCTGCACAATATATTATTAGTAGTTGTAAGAACGAGAGATTTTAAGTGTTATCTACAGAAAACAAACTTAATGCTAATTGAAACCTGAACTTACCTGTTCATTTTGATAAGCTGTTACAGCAACAAAAGTTGTCTCAGGAAAGGAAAATGTGTTAAAATAAGTATGGGGTATCTTAAGAATGTCACTTCCAGCAACAATATGAACTCGAGGAATGTATTTGTGCATGGAATTCAAGTAAATCTGTATAAATAGTTACACCAAAAAATGTTACAGAAAAACTACATATGAAATACAATTGAAATGTTTATTCACATTTGATGAATAAACAAAACATAAAATTTAAGAACAACAAGAGACTATTGTTCTGTCTCATCCACCAAAAAAATAAACATACACACACGTGCACACAAACACACACACACACATATATATATATATATATATAAAACAACTAAAGCCAGCCCTTATCACTCAAATATTTATCCAACATTCCCATAAATTTACTTAATCCACCACATCTGAAGACAACTCATTTTCAAAGGCCAACTACCCTGTTAAAAAAGTAAATCTATCTTAACTGAAGATGATTCCTACCCTGAAAAACTTGATATTTGTTGTCCCTTATCCTACCATTCTCACAGTATGAAAAAAGATGATGTCTCGACACTATCAATTCCCTTAACAATCATAAACACCTCAATCATATCTCCTCTAACTCTTCTGTTTTTAAGATAAAATAATTTCAGTGATCTTAACCTTTCCATCTTAGGTATCATCCTAGTAGCCACTCTCTGAACCCTTTCCAACAATTCAACGTCCTTTCTTGGTTAAGGAGCCACAGGCTGGCCACAATACTCCAAATGTGGCATATTTTTCCTACCACTAGCAACAGTATACAAATAGTATGGCCTAAGAAACTGATCTTTTTTTCTGTAACTCTGTTAAGGTTATTACCATCAAAATTACACTTATAATTCAAATTACGAAAACCCAAATGCATTATCCTGCATTTTTTATAACTAAAAGCCATCTGCCATTTATTCACCCCACTCACCAAAAGATCTAAATCATTTTGTAATGCAGCAGCAGTATCCTCAAATCTAGCAACATCCAAGACCTTAAGTCATCAACAAACTTAAATAATATATTGACCATTCCTTCATCCATGTATTTGATATGAATAGAAAAAATAAAAGGCCCCAACACTGGGCCCTGGGGTATGCTAATTCTTACATTAAATCAGTTTGACTGCATTCCATTCATATCAATCCTTTGCTTTCTTCTATGAAACCACTTTTTAACAAGCCTTTTATATAGCACCTTGTCAAATCCAGATAAACTGAATCCACACCCTTATCCTCACCTATATATGCAGTAACTTTTTCAAAGAATGTCAAAAATTACTTATGAAATATTTTCCCCTAGTAAACCATGTTGACTTTAAACTTTGTGCAAAGCATTTTTTTTTACACTGGTGTAAAACTAATTGATCTATAATTACCTAGACAATTTTTATCACTTCCCTTGAAAACAGGAGTAACATTAGCCAACTTCCTATCCTCTGGTACCAGCCCATTATTCAAAGACTTACAAAAAAGTAACGGCAAGTGGCTCACACACCAAACACTTAACCTCCTTCAAAGTTCTTAAAGAAATATTACAAATTTATTAAAAACTCCAAAATAATGAATTAATATACAGTACATGATAAATTAAAAACCTAAAGCATTAATATTAGGCTATTTTTAACTATGTTATGAGTATTTTTAACAGAGCTACTAAAACAGAAAGAAATTACTAATTACTTACATGCCCTTCATGTTGTAAAAAGTTATTAGTTAGCTTCACCTTGTGGAAGCTGACTGATTGTTTCATTAGCTGAGAGCCAGAGGCAGGGCAGTCTGGATGGATATACAACTGAGGAGTTACTGGCAGATCAGCTGGTCCTCGAGCTAGCCATTGTCGACCAGAATATGTATAACGATGATTATCCTTTGGAACAATGTCCAGTAACACAAAGTAGTACTTTGTTGGTTCTAGCCCAGACACTCTGACCTTTACTGAAGGAAACATCCGGCTACAAATAGTAGTTACTACTTAAAAATCACATAAAAATTCAAAATTTATTTAACAGATTTGAAGTAAGTCTACACTTTATTATATGTAAGTGATTTAGTTGTTACTTTATAACACACTGTTTTGTTAAATGAACCTGTTGAATAGCTTTTCATTGTGTAACAAACTTATCAGGTAGTTACTAAAGCACATTCTATAGATTAATAATTCTGCCACCAATAAATTAAAATTTTATATTTGACTAGTGTAATATATATTGTCATCCTAATTTCACCTGTTACATTTTGTTCTCACTTAATATTTTTTTAATTGGGTTTGATTTAACTGTATTCAGACATGTTTGCTTATGTCATGAAAGACTGTACAACATCTAATTGTAACTGAATTTTCAACTAGATTAATCTACATGTAATGTCTTATGGCTTCTTTCTGAATTTAAAATAATTATTGTAATTTTGAGTTGTATTAAAGTGGCAGATATTTCCCCAAGCTACTGATTCTAAATGTAAAACCTCCCCTTTGCTAACATAGGATTGTGACAAGGCACAGGTCTACAATATTGAACTGTAAATAAACTTAGTGAGTAACAATTGCAAAAGAAAATCAACTTGTTCAAAACCAATTATAGCTATATGTTTTTCTACAATTCAGTTAAATTTACTACTGCTTTACCATACACAATAATAGGCCTTACGCATACCATATAATTCAAAGTAATTATATAACAATATAGAAAGTGATGTTTTATATATAAAGTAATTGTACTTTTATTTTAAGTGAGCTCACTGTAAAAATGAAAATTGTAAATTATGAACCTGATGTAACAAACACACACTTTAGAGTTTTTTTCTTTTTGAAAACTATTACACGTTTAACTGTTTCTGAACCAGAAAGATGACATCATCACTTCTATTAATTTTGTTCTAACACTTAAAATGCTTACTCTAATTGCATGAAATTTGGTGCACACCCTCTATATAATATGTAGTTTGAGTGTTTAAAAAATTTCATAATTTAGTTTAGTATTTGTATAATATCTTAGGTCACAAAATTTCAAAAATTTTCTTGTGAAATGCAAAATAAATTAAAATCCTTTTTTTTTGCCTTATAGTTTCTGTTTTTTTTTTATTGTGTGCCTAAAACCTTGAAAATGTATCCAAGAAGTTATTCTTTTGCTATAACTATATTTTTGTGTAGGTTTTGTTCCAGTAACAACATACTCATTTTCTCATCAGTTCCTAAATGCAATGAAAGTAACTATTGGAAGATATGAAAGAATGAAAGAAATGTGTATTATTTTTATATCATTGATCAGAAAATTTCATTTTGTATATTCAATTAATTCTAACTTGTTTTATGTTCCTCAATTTATTTTTTATCTTTACTTCTTGAAGCAGTTATGTAACCACAAAAATATTTAACCTGTTTAAAATATATTGTTGCATTCAAAAACTTCTACTAACTCTACTAACTGTAAGAATACAAAAATCTCATTACTGCAAGTAAAAAATTTAGTTATTAACAAAACAGACCTTACCTAGCAGTTAAAAGTTTTTAAAGTTTAAGTAAATGTTAACCTGGTGGAAATAATCAAAACCCATCATACTACATTACCAACTTGATTACATAAAAAACTAGCATGCATTAAAAATATAGTTTCTAAGTAAAAGTTTATATATATATATATATATAAAATGCTACAGATGTAGAAACAATTATACAAAAGTTCACATTTTTATACATAGTGGTCAAGTAACATAAGGTTAAAAACTATTCGTAGTTAAGTAGAGTTTTTCATGTTAAGCAAGATAATGCTGTCTAATTTTGATTCTTTCACTGATTAAAACTAAAAAACAATGCAAAAATTCACCTACCGTCCTGTTCTGCTAAGTATCATTTCATTTCCAGCCCAATCAAATTTTTCCCACATTTCTTTATTTTCTAGTAAAACTTGGATTTTGTTCTCTGACACAAAGGTTTGTGGTACACTATCATTGTGGTCACAAGAAATCAAAGATTGGATAGGCCATGAAGATAAGACCCCATTAATAGAATTTTGGAACTTACTGTTAGAATAAAAATGTTGAACACGATCATCTGAAGAAGTAAATGGGTAAGATAAGGATGATGTAGGTACAGATGTGATGGTAGTGTGTCTGGGCAGTTGAGTTTCAATACTAGGATAAGGTCTCGGAATATTACTATGAGAAAATATAGAGTTGTGAGAGAGTGAGGATGAAAAGTCAGTTTGAACAGTTAATATCTGGTTACTTTTACTACTTGTAGTATGAGACACTTGGATACAACTGTCAGCATGGAATATAGAAGTGGCAATATCCTTTGAAGTAGATGGGGTAGACACAGGCTTATGTGTGTAAAAACCTAGAATAAGACAAAGCAAGGTTTACATTTAAGTTCAAGTTATAATGTTCTTCAGGTATCTAAATAAATGATTATTTCTTGAATGGTCCAAAAAATAAGTATATGTATTACAACATCATACTACTGAAGAATTTACCAGAAAGAGTAAGTTTTTAGTATTATTTTCATGATCACATCTTCAAATATTTAGTTGAATAAAAACACAATGTATCAAATATACTATTGTAATTATATCTATTGTTGGGTATATTTTTCAACAATTATACAGTAATATTGCAAAATCTAGTCAACTTAAAAATGAAAGCATTTTATTTCTTCTACCACAGGTTAAAAAGGTTCATCAAGAGATAGGCTAAACTCACAAAAATAACTACACTGTAATGTTCTTATTGAATTTCCTCTCATACCTACAGCACAAGTTGAAGCCTGTCTAAAACAGTTGTTAACTCAGTAATCAGTTGAACACACTGTAACAGTCTCACTAACTTATACTAACTCACTGAATACCTGTCTCACTAACTCATCAACAACAAACTATTTGGTGTTTTTGTATTATTACAATATTTTTTCCCAGTTCTCAAAAAATGTTCAAGAAGTTACATGTTCATTATTCTCCTCAAGTCTAGGGTATACTCAATTTGCTTGTCCAAAACATTTTCTGGACGTTCTTTTCCCATCAGATAAATCAAATGAGAGAAATTTAGCATTTCCATTATGGCAGAGAAGGCTTTAACTTTCCATGCTTTTTTGTTTGGCGAGGTAAAGCAAAAGTGGTGCATGCCAACAGGCTTTGGCGTTATCACGGTCCAGGACATTTCAGTTGGGACGAAGTGGAAAACAGAACAAATGAGGCTGCTGAAG